ATTAAAAACTATTAGCTTTAGTGAATAATGCATTAAAATAACAGATTAACATAGTACCAATGAAAAACTACCTTGTGAGGATTTTCCACAGATAAACGAAATTTCAATAATCGTAGCACAATATATTCCATACGTGAAAGGCTCGTTCGCAGTGCCCATGATTCGTCATCGATTTGTAAGATCGGTTCACGGGGATGCAGTATGCTCAATGCAAATCTGATTAAGCCCTTGACTTTCGCCTAATAGTAACGTAGCAAAATGAGGTTCTGCACCAAAATTGACTGTTAAGATACTCGAAATTTTGCTTCATATGCTAAAGTCATGACCAAAAAGTTGAAAAGGTCAAAGAAAAGGGTCAAGTAACCTGTAAGCAACATTCACAACATCTCTTGTTTTTACCATCTCATCTTCTTCTATTTTAGCCGCCAATAGAAGACATGCCGAAGCAATAGTCTGCAATAAGAAAATATGTAACAGAAATTATATGCATTTTTCGCCCTTAATTTTAAAACATCAATCTCATAGCAGAGTTCCAGCTTAAGAAAATCTCAAGTTTAAATTTTAAATCAATTTTTTAAAGTCCAAAAATCAAAATCGGGTAAGTTGCATTGATTCTGGTAAATGAAATGACTTGAAATTTTTTAAACTTCCTTTTCTAAACAAAATCTATAAATGGGTTTCCGATTTTTATTAAACCTAAAGGCCGAAATAGAGTGAGTATGAGCGACTAGAGCCTAAAGGTCTGATCTTAGACATTCTCAAAGGCACAAGGAAAATGATATGATCTATGACCAATTTAAATTCATTAGGTATACTTTTTTTTTCTTCATCATTGAAGCTAAAGATATTGATCAGTTTTTCGATTCGAGTTACTTCTCATTTATCCTAGCTTGAATATGATTACTACAACAGAACTTACATAAGGACACAATTCAGAAGCACTACTTTTCCTCAACGTGCGATATGTTAAAACTTCAGCAGTACATATCGTTGAATTTTTCGCTCCCAATTTGATTCCTGAAATGAAAACACTTAAGTAGAAAAATATCATTATCGGTGCTTCGAACAAATATACATGCATAAATACATGTTTTTTAAGGGTCAATTTGATTCTTGAACTTTGATAATCATTTCTACTTTGACAGACTTATAGACATTACTATTCTATCATTACGGCATGCTAGCATTGAATTTCATGGAAGAAAAATATCCGACTGACAACAGCATACCAAATAATCTTAGAAATTACTTACCAGCCTCAATAACAAAAGCGAAAATTTTCCTCCGACTCGCTGAGTGATCCATCATGAAACAAAAGCTAAGATTGATCAGCGCTTGAATAAAAGCTGAAACATAACTTCAAAACCTACTATTTATATTTTCATTGGCTTGTATACCATGAGAGAATGAAAAACAGATGGTGTACAAAATAACTTTTATTCAAATATATGATGCAAACAAAAACAATGTACTAAGATTCATGATATTCATCAATGTGGATCAACGTTTAATTCTGTTATTCAATTCAAATGTTCACAATATATTTGCAGAATTCGTATATTTAACTAGCATAAATTTACGAATAAGTTAACAGAATATCTCCTTTTTTCAAGTCGGAAAGATATTAAGTAATGATAAAGAGCTTCAAGAAATAATTAACTTTTATCACATTGAAAGATCATAGTTTTAAATTAGAAATAATACAAGCAATTAACAATTAAGGTTCGCATAAGAGACATCACACAACTGTTGCATAAATAGTGTCCTCATTAGACAAAGAATAAAAATCCAGCGATCGTAATGGTTTATCCAAATTCATTACAAATCCTTGATAGTCACAGGTTTGAAGTGAGATCTGTAAAATTTTGGCAATCCTACTTTCTTTATTATAACTGATAACGTAAAAGATAATAATTAAACAATCCTCTTGCACAGTCTCACACAATGCAAAATCAGCCTATATTAATTCTAATATGGTAATGAAATGATGTACTAAATGACCAGTCTAGCAAACTTTCCTTTGATAGTATTGTAGAAGCAATACAAATGCAGTTCTTCTGCAAAGCAGCATCCACAATAAACACAGCATTAATTTCTCAATTCATGTTTCCTGAACAAAGATTTCACAGCTTTCCTATCTAAGTATTCCTATAGCAAAGCTTACCTTTCTGGCATCCAGATGAAAAAGTCTGCTTATAATACCGATTAATCTTTGTACAGTAACTGTTCCAGGAAGTGAACGTTCCATGACTTTTCCTTCATACGATAGCCTTAATTTCAATAAACCAATTCCACCGTTTTGGGGTTTTGGCTCGTTTGGCTTACCATGTGCTTCGATTAATCTATATTAAAAACACAAGATTATTGTTTAATATTCATAATTTCCCTGCTAATTGTTTATGCTGGAAATAAAACATGCCTAAGTTGAAATGCATTATTTTTTTTTGTGTCATATAAAAACCATTATATTTTTGTCTATTGAAAAATTTTGTAATATCAAACATTTATAAATCTATCAACGTAATTCTTTCAATTTCTCTACCTTTCCACAATAGTACGATTCTCTTCTGTCACGGGAGATACACCGAATTTATTGAGAAAACGCATTTCAGCAGAATCCCTTTCAACAGAACTTATTTCCGAATTACCCAAGAATTTGAGCTGGGGCATGCTGGCAATAATAATTTCGCGAAGGTCAATTTCGGAATCAGCATTATCATTATCAGAACAAGAATAGCATAGTTTTTCCAGTTTTGGAAGTTTGGCTAATTCCAAAATCCACTGTTTCTGAAAAACAAAGATTTGCACCATTAACACACAGAATTTATTGATGACAGATTACCAAAACGCTACAGTCCGAGAGATCAAAAAATCAAATATATTCAATGTATTGATGTGAAATTACAGTTAATTTTCTCTACATTTTAGCAGTAAGAACCCAGAAAAATAACTGCTGTCAGAAAAGCCAGACTCACCAACATAATTTCTTGAAAAAAGTCTATCTCCCTTTGCTTCATATTTCTTTCATTCATTATTTAATGATAGTGAATTTTAAAACTGCTCCAAAGAAAAAACCATTTCACAGACTCACATCAGTTATAGGATTGCCTTTAATGTTGAGTGAAAGTAATGAATTGAATCCAATGCTATCTGGCATATAGATATGACGGAGACCACAACTGACCAAACTGAGCTTTTGAAGACTAAAACTATTAACAAAATTTCAAAAATATAAATAAGTTACATCAAGAATCATTGATTAAAAATTACAGAAATATGATAATGATGACAAATACTTAATTTGGTAAAGTCGACAGAACACGAAGATTGGCAAAATCGCCGATTGGATTTCCCTCTAAATCAATGCTTTCCAAATTGCTACCATATTCTCCTGGATCGAAGCATTTCAAGTCATTTCGATCCAAATGAATTTCTCGTACATGCGGAAAGAAATGCATAATCCGCTCGGCCTGAAAATGACTGCTTTATGTGAAATTAATAAATCTTTAGAAATGTTTCCCTTAATAACTTATTAACAGTTAATATATCACTGTTTGCTATATATAACCCTAGAAATATCTACATGACTTAACGAAAAGCAGAAAAT